GGGGGGGATGGAAGGAGGAGCCTGGTTGACTGGCAGTTATTTAGCAGCTCTTCTAATGAAGCTGCTGACGGCAATTAAACATTACGCATACGCACCGCTGTGCAGGCAAATTTAATGCATTTGTCTCTCGTTTTCACTCGCTCACTCCCGCACTCCCGCACTCACTCACTCAACCAAACCGAAAGGGACAGGCACAAGATAAAGAGAGACAGAGAGAGAGTGAGTGAGAGAGGGGGGGTGTTGGGAAAATGTTACGCTTAATTTGTTTGAACGCTTGCTGGGGCTATGTAAAATTAAACATGTCTGCTGTGCATTTAAAATGTCACCAGGACCAGAAAGCAGGACCGGCGACATGCCCCGTGATCCGGTTGTGGTGCACGACTCCCTACATACACCAATCTATCGCATCGCTCCTTTATCCATCACCGCCCCGCCCCCACCCTCCCGCTGTCACCTTGTGACTATAGATCCTGTGCCCGCATGGAAAACGAAAATTTTATCAGCATCAGCATGAAAATGTCGCCGCATATTAACCTGTCATCCATCACTTTTGATACTTTAGCAGTCCGCTTCCATCACCGCGTGTTACCTTTGGCCATAACCCCCCCCCCCCTACCACCGTCGCATCCGTCCTTTGGTGACATCACGCAGCGGCAAAAAAGGGTCAATTCCGTTGCACGCTGTTATACAAAAGGATAACGAGCGCAATATGAGTTGGCATTATAATACAACAACTACGGCAAGGCAAGAGGGAAACGGGAGAAAAGAGGCCAGCAGGAAAAAATGACAGCGCAGCAGCACAAAGAGAAAATGAAATGGCGTCTCTGCTGCTGCTGCTGCTGCTGCTGCTGCTGCTGCCTCCGCTGCTGATGCTGCATGGAATGACGATGGGGGAAATGCAAAAAGTCTCGGTTTACAATTTCTATTCAATAAAAACTCAACATGATTTTGAAAGATATCAACAGCCAAAAGCCGCTTACGGTTATGGAAAAATGTGAGACATCAAATTGGAATAGAAAAGAAGCTGAAGGAAACCTTTCACTGGCACTTAATGAAGTACTTAAGAAGACTTCAACCTTAATTCCTGGTTGCTCTTGGCTATTAATATTAATTGTAACGAAGGATTTATCTTAGTCTGCAATTTAAGACTCGATTCGGGGATGCGTACGTAACTGGAAATAATATTAAATTAAAAATTAAATATATCAGCAAATAAAAATTAATTATTTCAAGCTAAAATTTAAAAAATATAAAACAAATCAAATCACATATTTACCATATTTTTATTCATAGTATGTACATATATACATATACACCCGTTCATAAATACATACACATTTACATACGATATGTGTGCTCCTAAACCTAAATTTATTAGCTGCTAGATATAAGTTTTGGGTAAAATTCAACAAAATAAAATAATAAACACAGGGAGGGGCATGGCTATCCGCCTGGGCCGCCTGATGTGGCATTTACTGTTGATTCACTGTTGGATAACTTTGGCACAGCACAGGGCAAACTTTAAAGGGCTTCGGGGGGAGGGTTAGGGGTTATTGTGGTATTGTTGGTGGTGTATATTGCTATGGATAGAGGGGAGAGTAAGGGAGCGTGTGTGGTGTGTGTGTGTGTGTGTTGGGGATGGGTGTTTTGTGCTTTTTATGACTAAAATTGTAAATTATGTCAACTGGCCACGACCCACAGAGCTCGTTATAGCTGAAGTGCTACAGCCGGGCCAGAGCATGGGATATCTGTGGAGCAAAAGAGACAGCTAGAGTGGGAGAGAGACAGAGAGAGGGAGAGACAGAGAGAGAGAAATAGTGTCAGCAAAAGGGATACGAGGGCGAGTTTTAGTCTTGGCTACACGAAATTAATGAAAATTTATTGATAATAAATTTAATATGTTTTGCGGTTGCATGTTTTATGTGTCACCCAACCCCACAAGTAATCGATGCCAGAGTCCAGCTTTAACTGCAGTTTCGGTTGCGGGTCCTGCGCCAACGAATATCATAATTAATTTATGGCCATTAAGTGATGGAGCCCGCCCCCCAGACACTGCCCTCTGAGATGCAAGATGCACTTGGAAATGCGATATTTATCTATCTATCTATCTATCGGTTCGCCTCTATGCATTTGAGGGACCTGCTTCGTCTGCGTCGCTTGCCAGCATTTTTATCAACCGCCATTATCATCTATCGTCATTGGGCCGTCATGCCGCCACTGTTGACATTTCATTGAGTCGGGCTCAAACTTCATTATGTCCTGCAGCGTGTCGTCGTCGTCGTCGTCGTCGTCTGGCGCCAGGACGAGGTCTCATGTCGTGTGCGTGCCGGGAGATGTTTTGCCTCACATTCCTCTCCATTGACGCTTACTTTGTCCTCTTCCAGGCACAACATCCTCCCTCTGTCTCTCTCTCTCTCTCTCCCTGAGTTGCTTGTGTGACTTTGTCTAAGTTTGTTTGCATAACCTATTTGTATAAATATTTTGCCGTGCTCTGTTGCTCAGCTTATTTGCACGTCGCATGCCCCCCTACCCGTCCACGAAAATTTAGCAAAGAACCCTGCCCTGGCCCTGCCCTGGCCCTGGCCCTGCAGTGTCTCCTGGCTCCCGTCTCCCGTCTGCAGTGTGGTGGCTGTGTGCTGTCTCCAGTGTGTGTCTCTGTTTCGTAGGTGATAACAATGTTTGTCTTCATTTTCAGGGCGGAACAGAACTTTACTTTTAACATTTTCACTTAAACTTTGCTCAACAGCAAATTCGGTTTATTATTTTATAGTTTGGACACGTGTGTGTGTGTGCATCTGTGTGTGTGTTTGCCTTGGCTCAGCAGAAATATGTGGAACGCAATAAAGCACAATTTGATGTTGCATACTTTTGGGGCTTAATCTGCACACAAGACTCCATCGCACATCGCCCATCGCCCATAGCCCATAGCCCAACCATACCACAGCAGCAGCATTTATGCAAATCCAATTTAATTCCAGCGATTTGTTGACACATCGAAGAGCAACAGGACCAGCCACAGCAACAGCACCCAAGCACCCAAGGAGTCCAAGGAGACCAAATTAACGTGTCTGTTTCCGCCTGATGCTGATCCTGATCCCCCATTCGACAAATGCAATTTACGCGCCTGTAAAGCAGTTTGGCAATGTGATGCTGCCACCTCTGTCTCTGCAGCAGCAGCTTAATGAATTGTCAAACACTTTAAGCCAATAAACGCAATAATGGCTCAAACCCACTCCCAAGCACACGCACTTGAGAGGGCAGCGCCGGAGAGTGTGGGGTAGGGCGTGCCGACAGTTGGATAGACGTTACAGCAATTGCAAGGCGTTTAGCTGTGAAAGTTTTAAAAGTTCTACCAACTTTTACCTGCTCGTATGGGTACGAGAGCAGGCAACACACTCACACTGAGAGAGCGAGTGATAGAGAGAGATTCTATACTAAAGAGCTGCACTCACACGCAGGGACATTTGTCACGGGGCTTTTCTTTTCTGCGGCAATGGAGCCATGGGGCTGTCAGCGAAACTTTGCCCACCCGCACCGCACCGCACCGCAGCGCTCTGCTTTACCGCTTTGATCTGCTTCTCCTCCGACATGCAGCTAGGCAGCAAGACAGCAAGTAAAGTGTTTATGTTGGCCGGAAGACATAAAAGCGAAGGCAGTCAATAGTCGGTGCCGGTGCCGGGCTCAAGAGCAATGCCAGTGACACGCAACCGCAACAAATCCAACCGGAAATCCACTTTAAACTTGGCCAAGAGCACCAGCAGCAGCAGCAGGCTTTCTTCTCCTCCTTCTCTTTCTCTCTCTGGCTTTCTGCCACTCTGCTGTCCTGAGCTGCACTTGCACTTGCACTTCAATGATTTGGTCGAGTGTTATCAGGCAATCGATGGACAATGCGGAACAAAGACAATGACAACCCATCTGGAACGGCAGTGGGATAGAAAAAGACATAGAGACGGGAAGAATCCCGCGTAAGGTGTGGGGAGAGCGAGAGCTTGTCCGTATAGAAGCAAGAAAAAAACGAAAGGCCGGGCAAAGATATAAATTGTTAAAATTTAGCTAAAAAATGGATTTATCCTAAGGAATACAGGGGGGAGAGGAATAACTTCAAATGACTTATTTAGTTAGCAGAGTAAAATTCTCAAAATGAATTTCTTAAATATTGTTTGATTGATTTCATGGTGGAGTTAGAAGAGTGAATTAACATAATAAACAAAATTATATTTTTTTAAATTAATTGAATCTCGGCTGTGTACTCAGGTACTGTGCCGACGCTCTGTGTGGACCCCTGCTTAAACTATTCACCCTACCCATTAACTCTTCATGCCTCCCCCCCAATCTGGAAGGAATCTTTTATTGTTGCGCTCCACAAGAAAGCTAGCAAGTCTGATACAAATAATTATAGAGGTATATCTAAGTTATCCGCCATTCCTAAAATGTTTGAAAACATTTTAACTCCGCACTTGAAAAATCTCTGCAAATCACTTATATCTCAGTCGAAGACCTATCTTTTCTGCATGCTCGCAATCGGTTCGGTAACACGCGTTGCGCGTCATGCGGCAGCGGCCCTCGGTCGGTTGGGCGGGAGGAGGGGCTGCGTTTCTGCCTGGCTTCGGCGCGTAACAGGCTTCGGCTTGGTGTCGCATAGGCCACTTAATGGTGCGGTATCAACGTACAGACAAGAAATAAAAATAAATATTATAAGGAAACACATACATTTTTCATACAACAAATAAATGTAGTCGATGGCTGTAAATTGTAGAGTGGGTTACGGGGAATCGCACTGTACTATGACGTGGGAGCAGAGATAAGCAAGACAACAATAACCGAGCGGAATAACACTTAATAGATTCGACAAATTTCAATTACGATAATGGACGTAAACAGTGAAATGAATTCAGCAGCAGAGACACTATGGGACTTAGGTATAGTACATAGAAGGGGGATTGATAGCCAGCGTATATAAAGCGGGCGCGACCCCCAACTGATTTCAGTTGCACCGGCAAAAGGCGAGAGCTACGAGTGAAGGCGAGAATTAAGCATGACAGCGAGCACGAAGGATGGCATCACCATACGTACTATGGCGGAGAGGGATTATCCCATTGTGAAATCATTCATGCAGGAGCAGTTCTTTAGCGGCGAGCCCCTGAGCCAGTCCACCGGTGAGCAAGTCCATCTGCAAAATGAGAAGGAATCGGACGAGTATCATCTGTCCATGATCAGAGAGGGCACCTGCCTGATAGCCATTGACGAGAACCAAGGCGGCCGCATTGTGGGCTATGTCCTGGCCGGATCTCAGTACCCCGAAGACTTGGAGAAGCATCGCAGGGATGCCGAGCAAATGGAGCAGCATGCCTGGGGACGAATATGCCGCCTACTGTCCAAAATGGAACTCGAGGCGAACCTCTTTGAGCGCTACGGCACCTCCAAGTTGCTCTACTCGCACATGACCAGTGTGGGTGGCTCGATGAGGGGCAAGGGCTTGGGCTCCCGCCTGGCTGCCACTCTCATGGAGGTGGGTCGGGCGAAGGGCTACCCCCTGATGGTGGCCTACTGTACGAGCTTCTACTCAGCCCGCCAAAAGGAGGCACTGGGCATGCAGTGCGTCCATTCTCTGTGCTATGCGGACTACAAGGATGATCAGGGACGAGTGATATTTACACCAGCAGCACCCCATACGCACGCCAGGATCATGGTCATCAAACTGTGAGACATTCAAAGACTTAAAAACCAACAACAATTGTATTTCTATTATTGTGTGATTCCCTGATAGCCCTATAGACAACAAATGAGTATTCCTGTATTGTTTTTGTTTCGAATCAGCCATTAATTTTTAATTGGCAAAAGCCAAGAGGCCAAGGGGCCAGTAAGCCAATAAGCCAACAAGCCAACGGAATGCGATAATAATGCATGAATGAAGGGCGATAAAACGGAAATGAAAAGCAGCAAAACGAACTAAAGTAGATAAAAAAGAAAAGCGACTGCAGAAGTTAAAAAAAAAAATCAATTCCTTGCCAACTGAAACTTGATTTATGGCTGCATTTATGAAATGCCAACAGCAACAGCAACAACAACAATAACTGCCCGCAACTGGGTCTAAAGCAGAAGGCAAACACACAAACACACAAACACACAGACACACGCAGACACATGCGAGGGTAAACACAGTTAGTTAGGAAATAGAGATCTAAGTGATTGAGGGGCAGTCATAAGGACTTGCAACAAATTTACCAGAAAATTGACTTTTTCTGTTCGGAATTAAAGCGCTTGGCTGGCCTTTGGGCTGGTCTCTGGCCTCTGGTCGGGTAGGAGATTCATCAGAGGATGGCTGGTAAACTGTCACCCTGCCCGCCCCATTTCCCATTTCCCAGGGGGGGTGTAGCGTGGCGTGGCGTGGCGTGGCGTGGCGTGGCAAGCTTGTCAACTCAGAGCGAGGCCCGGTGGTGGTGGTGGAACGTGAGTGAAATTGAACTGTTTGCAGCTACAAATTGCAACTGGTTTTCACCTGGCTGCATTTTGTTTTATTTTGTCGACTGGTGAAATAACCGCAATTACGCTGATTCTGTCCCCTCTTTTTGCCGCTCTCCCCCTACCCTACCCTTCCTACAGGCACATTCCTACCGCTGAACTTTAGAAATGAAATTGCCAGTCCGAGTTGCTGCAAACACATTTGCAGCGGCAAGGAGGACGCTTAAGTGCCGCTTTGCGAAACATTTCATTGCATAAGCAGGGGACGGGTCGGGACTGGACTGTGTGTGGGGGGTGGCGGTCAGAGGTGCTGGGCGTTGCTGGTGCAGGAAGCCTGCTAAAGTGAAATACTGCCACAGCAGCCATCGCCATCGCCATCGTAGTCGTTGTCGTTGTCGTCCTTGCTGGCTAGAAAAGTCAAAAAACTAACGAAATCGGAAACGGAAGCACACAAAGCGCCACTGCCCGCTCTGCTTCTTCCTGCTTCCTCTCTTTCTCTCTCTCTGTCACTCTCTGCTGCTGCTGCTGCTGCTTCTGCTCCTCCAATGTTTGTCCTGCATCATCATTTTCGCTTGGCTGCCTGCCTGAGAACTGCTCAAAAGTCGCAAAGAGAGAGAGAGAGAGAGGAAGAGAGAACTGGGAACTAGGGAACTTTTCCCTAGTCAAACGTAGCAACTGCGAGAGAAACAAACACAACAAAACGGAGAAAAGTTGCCACAGTTTTCGCACAGTTTTCCCGCAGTGCCTTTTTGCTTTTGGCTGTCATCATTTCTATATAAAAATTGGATGCTCATTTGCCGCTCTTGGTCAGTTTTGCCGTGCCCCACTCGAACCGCTGGTAATTTGCAGCAGCCAATCTCAGCCAGCGTCACCGTTCCCGCACCGGCAGGGCGGGCCTCACCACACTCGAATGCTTTGTTCAATTAATGAGACTCTTGACAGTTTTCCGCTGCTCCTTTGCCAACTGCTTCGGTGTCCTTTCGCTTCCTTTTTTTTTCCTTTCCTTTCCTTGCCTTTCCTTGTTTTCTTTTTCCGCTACTTCCCGATACCAGTCCTAGCCGAATGGAAGGGCCACTCGTGCTGCTGTTTTGTAATTTATAATGTTAACTTTTTGATTTCTGCCAGGTCAGGGCGCACTTAATTAATGAAACAGGCGCAAAACAGGCAAAGGAAATTGCCAGAGCGGGCAGGGTGCGGGCAGGTATCGAATGGCCGCTGAAGGAGCGTTGCAATTGAACACAAATACATAAATTCAATTAGGCAGGCAACACAGAAATCAATAAGCGAGTTTTCCAACATCTAATTGAGAGGCCCAGCCCCAGACCCAGACCCATACCCAGTCCTCGACCCCAGCCCGCCACTCCGCCCATCCTGCCGCTTATTAATTGCCCCACGTACATTGCTCATACGTCACGTGGCGCGCAAATTCCAAAAAGGAGTGGATAGAGCGCCCTGTTGGAGGGAACAAAAAAGAACAACTGTCAGCTGTAATTAGCACATCTGAGCGAGAACCGACACACCCGCTAAGAGTTGAGTGTTTACCCCTCACACCCCCCGCCCTGCTAACACAAGTTGACGCGCTGAAATTTTTGACTGAGTGATGGCTCGAGCCCAAAAAAGAAAGATGAATGTCTTTTGCTTGCCCGAGAACATGCTGCGATGTAATTATTAATGCCATCATCATCATCATCATCATCGTCAGCGTCGTAATCGTCTCTGCGGAAGCTGATGACTTGTCGCATGCCGCATGCCGCATGCCGCGCCTGCTTCTAGGCTTGGCGCGCACTTAAAGTGTGGAAGATGCCACACAGATGCCACACAGATGCCACTCGTACATCCACATGCACACGTATGTATTTATCTGCAGCAGCCACACCCTAAAAGGGAAAACACCAGCGCATATTAAACAGACTCCTTCAGAGCTTCAGAGCTCCAAGCGAGTGGGCGGTGGGGAGTGGGGAGTGGGGAGGAGCCTCTCGTGGCCGCTGGCAAAAAATAATAATTTGCAGTGCACATTTCTTGCTCTCCTTTCCGTTTGCTTTTATTCTGTGCCACTTTTTTTTCTAGCATCATATATACATATATGTATGTGCTGGTACAATACATATTCATCTATGTATGTATGTATGTACATATGTATGTTGCAAGTTGGCACACCTTTTTCCACTCCTGCCGCTGCAATTTTTCTCGCCTGAAATGCAGGCAAACGTCCCATTGCAGAGGGACGAGCATGGACATGCACGCGGTTGATGGGGGAACCTGAGGATGCTGCTGCTGCTGGAGCTGTGAATCGGCGGTGTTCATGTTGTTTGGCGCCATTATTAATAAAGTTCACGAATGCAATGAGCACCCAGCGCGTTATGAGTGAGTTTCCCCACAAAACCCACACACACACACACACACACACAGTCACAGACAGAGGCAGACACCCACACATTCGCGTGGGTGGGAGTAGTATGACGCACAAGTTGGTGGGGAGGCAGCCGATGTGGGGCAGCAGCATTCTCAGCTATATCCGATGCCCTGCTCAAAGGATCCCACGGATTCTGTTTAATATTTTGTAACATTTCAAACGCATTTAATATGAAATACTGCAGACTGCAATTAAGATTTCGCATTGCTAAAATAAATAAATAGTTAATGAAACAATTTTGGAATCCCTTTAAGTTTGCCTGCTCTGTGTAGGGGAATCTCTTCTGAGATTGCAATTGTTAGCTTCGGGGGCCATGTCATTTAAGATATGGATTATAATATATTACTACCCACTAGGGGAGATATTTATTATTTCATTCCTCGTAGACATGCGACTCTTTAATCTCTTATTTGTAAGGTTAAAGGGCATAATACTCTTCGTTGCGTGCTTGTGTTTGCCCAATCTCATTTGGGTTCTTTTTATGCTATTTACAGCTGGTGCTGGTGCTGCCGCCGCCTCTCCATCTGCGCCTCAGCCGCCGCCCTGGCCTGGTTAACTCAGTGCTATCTGTTACTGTTACTTTGCCAAATGCACACACACACACACACACATAGTTACAGGCAGAGCTGTGCGAGGACATATACATATGTATGTATGTATGTGTGGGACTGGAAATACAAACGAACATGGCGCGTACTTGTAATTCCGCCTAGGTGCATGGCAGACCAAAGTGCTTCTGTTTCATGCCCATTGCAACAGTTGCAACTTGCAGCGGCACACAGAGAGAAAGACAGACGAGAGACAGACGGGAGACGGGAGTGTGTGGGGTACAGAGGCACAGAGGCCTACCGCCGCCTACCACTGCCACTGTCGAGTTGTTGGCCGTTGCAGCTCGGTTGGTTGATGTTGATGCGCCTCGAGTTCCTGTCGAGTGCGGCTTTTGTGGGAAAAATTAAAAATTTCGAGTGGGCCGCAAGTGGTTTCAAGGATTTGCATTAAGCGCATGCAACCAACTTGCCAACATGAGTGTGTGGAGCCCTATATATATGTACGCCAGTACCCCTCGACACCCCTCGACACCCAGCCCACAAAAACCACATGCCAGCCATATAAAGGCACAAGCACATTAACGGGTGATACGAATGTATTTGAGCTGTTAGCTGCTGCTCTCTCTCCCGCTCTCCCGCTCTCCCTCTCTGCTCTCTGTTTTCGCCCCTCCCCTGCTGCCATCTAACAGTTCTCTGCCCCTCTCGCCTGTTCTGTGGTGGCAGCTCACGCTTTAATGGCTGCCCGTCAAAGCGTACAAAATGCTTAAGTAATTTGAATGTCCCATTTCTTGGCCTGCGACTAAGTGCTGACTCTTACTTACTTAAATTTCCAATTCCGAGTGCCTCAGTTGCATCTATGTACGAGTTCCTTGTTGAATAGTCTCTACACATAATAGAAAAATTAAAAACCATTACAATGCAGAGAGTTTTTAAATAACTTCAGGTGTCAAATCAAAACTCAAAAGTTAACCGAAAATATTACATTTGCATTGGTAGAAACTGGAACTAGACCAAATGCTGATCCTCCAACTAATACTGGGGGGGAATAGTGGAGAAATAATATTTATTTCAAAGAATTTCCTGGGGGGATTCGCGTGGAAACTAAATAATGATCCTCCGTATGCCTCAGCCTCTGACATCCTTCATGGCTGACTGCAAGCTGCAGCTCACATATGCCATGTGCTCTTTCACATACTTAGTAGGTATGATAGGCGATGGCTCTCCGCTGCATTTCCAACAATTACAAAGCGCTCAGACTTGCCGGAGAGGGGGAAAAAAACAAAAAAACTAAAGCTTTGCATGGCCCACTAAGCACACTTGTCAGCTAGTCCCCATCTCTCTCTCTCTCTTCTGTCTCTGTTTCTGT